AAAGCCATTTGCCTCCCTTTTTGGAAAGCACTGTATCTTTAAATGCTTTCCCTTCTGAAACATAAACACTCTGGCGGTTTAAAATCGATGCAGCACAACAAATGTGTGTGTTTCCCCCCCTCTCTCCACCTGATGGAAAATGAATGCAGAACACTAATTGCAGAAAATGTGCTGGTCTCAGTGTTCTGTGACTCAATGCCATTTCTGAACTGAAGCAATTATACACTACCTGGCTGGCACATTATTATAATCACTCCCTGTAGATGCAACATATGGCGCTACTTTTGTTTTTCAAGACTTTGTTGTAAATTGAATGAAGGCGTATATGTGTGAGTGGAGGAGGTTATTATCTTAGAGACAACATGGCATAACTCTTCTTAGCTGCCCTGGTCTTGTTGACAAGCCAAGGGTGGGAGGAACTGAAGCCTCTGTACAGTGGGCCACATTGCGTATCTGTTTTGGCCTTTTTAGCACCCACTCTTCGGTGTTTTATTAACACATCCTGTTATTTCTGTAGACAAAATTGCATTGAGCACCATCCACTGGGAACTTCCACCTGGACAAGCTCCACTGAAAAGAATAGTACAAGTTACAAAAGTGCAACAGGGGATGTTTTGATGGATTGTGAGCCTGGCCTTTATTTATTTCCTAAGGGGGAGGGTTATTTCAAAACATTGCTTCTTCTGTTTCCTTTCTGTTTTCTTTGGTGTAGTTGTTTTTATTTTTTTCAGCTCCCCCCCTTTTTAACTCTGTGCTTTCCTCAGTAGTCTCTCTTCCTTATTCAAACAGCTCACCTTTAATTTCTACTTTGCTCTTTTCTCCTTTATCGTTCATCTTGGAGCTGCAGGCCTGCAAGGGGAATTTCCTCCTGATCCACGCCAATGCTTCACAGGCCAGTGGGGGGGAAATGGAGGGGGTGCTGTCAGCATTGTACCAGTGCACAACATCACTTCTGGCACGAAACTATAAATGATGTAATCATGTCGGAGCAATGGTCTAGGATTGCCTCTAAACTCTATGGTTAAACTATAGCATTTGGGGTGAATCCTAGAATACCTCCCACAATGATGTCACTTCCAGTTTTGCACTGGAAGTGACATTGTGCATGGGAGCAACTCCAGTGCACCCCCATTGCTTCCAGGAACTTGCCAGCTGTGGCTGGCAACCCTAAGGCCTGCACCGTAACTCTCTTTTATCATTGTTATCCAGCTGAAACTTGTGACAATGGAGAGCTTGAAGCGGCATTTGAGGCCTAGATTTGAGGTCTTCTGGCACCAATGAACACTGCCATGAGCATGTTCACTGTCTAGTATTTAATCATGAGGCCTACTATTGACATGAACCTTCTCCCCTACTTGAGTAATCTCAGGCCTGGCCCAGACATTCAGAAGGATGGGGTGGAAGAATGCTGAGTGGCAGAATAGACAATACCACTACAGTCTGCAGATGAGCAATTATGTTTTTCAAAGTGCCCCTACATGAATCATTCCTTGTAAGTGGAAAACTAGCACAACATGCAAAGAGTCAGGTTAAAATCCTTCTCCTTGGTGTAGTTTTATTTTAATTGGATGGAATTTTTACAGGAGGAAGCATTAAAACTGTATGCTTTCCTAACTGCAGTTTGAAGTGGCAGTGCCCATTCTACACCTTCAAGATACTACTGCCTCATTGATAGTGTATACAGACTGGGCCTCAGTAAGATTAATTTGGAAAAGGGAGAGATTGTACAAAGGGCTTGCAATGGGGTTCCATGACATGGAGGCTTCTAGGTAGGACGTTAGTCCATCGTGGGAGAAACCAGTCTGAAAGGAGGGGGGAAGCTGAATTAAAAGGAATATTTTTTGAAGAATTTGAAATTTATTTTAAAATAACGTGTTTTAATCCCTGCTGAAGGAGTTTGCCCCTCACTTATTCTTTGTGATGTAAATTGTCCCTTTCTCTTCAAGACATCCAGGCAGGGAAGGGGGAGTTACGCATTTTAAAGTGCCATTGATTTCAATGGGAAAGATTTAAGCAGAGGCCTAATTCTCCCATTAAATTCAATGGGTCTTGAAAGTGTTTAACTTTGGCAGGTTTGTACTTTTCAGATTTACAATAAGCACTAACCCTGCTGTGTGTAATGTTCAGTTTCCTCTGCTCTCTTGGAACTGCATCCAAATGAATATATAAATATCACTTCCTCTCTGAGACTGATGGTTGCACAAGTTCCTTTTCCCAGTCTCAAGTAACCCATGTAAGATAGTATTATAACATTAAGCAAAAAGGGGCAGTCAGCAGAGAAAATGAGACTGCCAAATAGCACAACAGAGCATCACTGTAGCTATTAGCTTAATGCCATGTGTAGTCAGGTGTTACAATATCTGCAATTCTGAAAATGTGTAGCAGATTAATGAGTCCATTAATGGCAATTGGGCTCCATGCGTGAGTTACAATTTCAGATCCTGTTTGTAACATTTGTTGTGACATTTGTGTGTGTGGGTGTGTGCTTTAAGAGGAAGCTACAGAACTAATGAAACATATAGGGTTCCATTTTAGGAACTTTATAAAGCCATTTCATCACTTTGTGAATACTTTCAATGTTTATATAATTGATATAGCTAAATAGTTTGTTTTTTTATCAAATCCTATTCAAGAGACATCTGTGGAACCAGGGATGATCATCTCTTCCCTCACAGAAATGGTCTCTTCCACAGTTAATTACAGCTACAGAAAACTAACAACTGAGCTCTAATATTGAAGCATAACCGGATTATTATTATTATATAGAGGCATCATTGCACCATGCTACTCTTCAGTTGCTATGAATTGTGAGATCTGGTTTTCCAACACAAATGAGACGTGCCCATCTTTTTGGTGAAGTGGTTAAGTGCACGGACTCTAATCTGGGAGAACCGGGTTTGATTCCCCACTCCTCCACTTGCACCTGGCTGGATGATCTTGGGCAAGCCGTAGTTCTGATAAGAGCTGTTCTTGAAAAAGAGCAGTTTCTGTCAAGAGCTCTCTCAGCCCCACCTACCTCACAGAGTGTCTGTTGTGGGGAGGGGAAGGGAAAGGAGTTTGTAAGCCTCTCTGAGACACCATTTGGTAGTGAAGGGCGGGGTATAAATCCAATCTCTTCTTCTTTTTCTTCTTTTAGGGCCGTAGTTACCAAATGGTGGGTTTTAGACTTTATGAACACCTGCAAGCTGCCTGCTATAAAGGCAGCTCAAAGGTGAAAAAGGATTTTTACTTCTAGGTCAAGAATTCAACCTAAGATCATTGACAATTCCTTTGAAGGTGAGATCACCAAGGTAGCCTGTGAGACAGCAATGGACTCGGACCAAGGCTGTAGCTACAAGGGACACAAGTGGCAATAACCCCTGTGCCATAACCACCACCGCCCCCCTGAATTCCCAAATTTCTTTTTAAAAGGTAACTTATAAGTCCTTTTGAGGGGAAAATATAAGGGGAAATGTGCAAGAGATTTTTGTTTGTATTACCTGGGAAGATCAGGAGGGGGGAGAGAATCTGCAAGATAGGCTTCCCAAGTCCCCCCGGGGGGGCAGGGAAACCCCCACCCCAAAGGCCCGTTCCCTGCCGCCTGTGGATCGGGCCCCGGGGGGGAACCCCACCCCAGTGTGCGCGTCACCAGGAAGTGACGTTATGACGCCGGGCACACTGGGGGCGGGGCCGCGGTCATCCGAGGGAAAACTCTATTATCTGAGGCACTCTATTTGCAATATTTTAAGCATGTGCCATTGGTGGACCCAAAACTGCAGTTGGTATGCTAGTTAAAGAACTAAATACCTTTATGTGGTTGTTTACCTGCTGAAGTGAGTTTGGGTGCATGTTGTACACCAATAGAATTTTATATTGTGCCTAATAGTACTCCTATCCTTGGAAGGGATTTGTTTGCTATGTTAAAATTGATGGTGGTGAGTGGACGTATTGTGACTCCCTAATTAGATGTTGAATCATGACAGAGGGTAGTTTCAGCTGTGAGTGGGGATAATTCCATACAGGGATTTGGTTGTGCAAAAGGATTTATTCATAATGTAAAAGTGAGGTCTAATGTGGTCCCTGTGTGACAAAAGTTACAATGGTTGCCATTGGTGGTGAGAGATGTTGTGTTGGAGGAGCTTGAGGAATTGGGTAAGAAGTCTATTATTGAGGAGGTTGATTCATTGGAATGGGTTTCACCCTATAATTGTGGCAACTGATGCTTCTGAATATGGATTAGGCATAGGGATGGGCATGAACCGTATTTTTGCAGTTCGGTTCATGATTCATGGCTGAACCACAAACTGAACCATGAACGCATATGAAAAGGGAGCTTGGTTTGTGAACCGACCCAGTTTGTATCCGTTCATGAGCTGTTTAAAGTTTAAACCTAAAGTCTAATCCTAAAATGAAATTAAATATTGAATGAACTGGGTTTGGAATCAAATGATATTCACAACTAGGGAAGAAGTGAGTGTATTGCTTTTCTTGTAGACACACTTATCATTAATAACCAAAGTGGTGACTTGTGCAGCTCCCACATCAGGGGAATACACATCTCACCACTAAAGTGATGAGCCTGCTTGAGATCCCAATTATAGGTATGAACACAGAATGTGTGACTCATGGTCTTTATTTAGCCTCTTAAATTGCTCATGGTGCTACAGCCCTATGCACACTGACTTGGGAGTCAGTCCCATTAAACTCAGCTGGACTTGCGTCAAAGTAAACTCTCATAGGGATAGGATCAGTCTGTAAGAGTGGATTAACAGAAGATCTGAAAAATAATTACCTTGCTTTTCCCCCCAAATGTAATGTGTGTGTGTGCCATTGATTTGTAATCACTGCCCTTGATACACATATATTTGCATAATTACATGATACATGTTCAGTTGAAGATTGGAGGACCAAATGCTGCCCTGTGATGAATGCAGACACATTCTCAGAAAGCCACCAGTTCATACAAGCCCAGACTCAACCCTGAAACCAGTGGGTAGAGATTTTTACTCAAAAACACCTACCTGAGACAAGAATAATAAGGAGTTTGGCCCCAGGTTCCAAAAGAGTGTGAAAAAAATGAATAGTAGCAGAGATGTCTTTTACATAATACAGCATCTAGGAAGGAAATAATCATTTCAGTGTGCAGTTTTCCATTTAATAGTAGTTTTTTATGAGAGTGGGAACAGCCCAATACACAAACACACACACCCCAATAGTTTTACACACACCAGTGGCTCTTTCCTACTTGCCCAGATATTAGCATCTTGTCCTTGTGAGAACGTTGCCTACGGAACAGAGATGCATTCTCTTTTCTTTCTGAAATTTGGGAGAGGTGCACTGTGGAAGAATGTTATACCCAGAAATGTATATGCACTTTACCACTCTAAAGCAGGGCTTGTGCACATTTTTTCTTAAACAACGAGGAAAAAATAAAAAATCCGTAACATCTTTCAGATCATTTCAAGTCACTCACTATGGTAGATGCATTTCTGTATGCTGCTGCTTTTAAAAAATAATAATGCTCATTTGAATTGTGTGGGGTTTTTTATTGCCTTTTAAAATTTGTTGTAAGCAGCCTTAAGGATCTTTGATAAGTGTGGGATAAAAATGTTCTCAATAAATATCATTTTTTCATTGTACAGAGTTACTTCTGGAAGAGTCATGTTTCGCAGAGCTAGGTTTAGCAGCCCTGCATAAGGGATAAGCAGTTTCACCCCTTTTTCTGGTCCCGTGTTACTCCCCCCCAATCCTGTTGTTAGAGCCAGCTAATAATTGTATAAATTTGGTTTAAAAGTTGTGTTCCCTATTAGGTTCCAGCATAAAAAGCCCAGTGAGTTAAGGAAACATTTTGCTGAGAATCTGGAGAGTTTATTTAAAACCAGGTAATATCATTTTGTGTTATTTAGTGCATGTTCATGGGCATGTTTCTCAAGAAATTCGCATAATCGGCTGAAGCAACTGAGGGCTGCCAAGTCTCGGTTGGGAAATTTCTGGAGATTTGGGGGTGGAGCCTGGGGAGGATGGGATTTGGGAGGGGAGGGGTCTCAGTGGGATATAAGGCCATAGAGTTCACCACCCAAAGCAACCATTTTATCCACGGGGAGGTCGCTTGGGCAACACAACCTTTTTGTTGGGATTCTGAAGCAGAGTAACAAAGAGGCGCAGGCTTGTGCCTTTAGCTTTTATAAAAAACTTTCCTATAAAAGAGGGAAGGGAAACTTTTGGATATAAAAACAAGACAAACATTCTGTCGAACCTACATCCTAACTGGTTACTAGTTACTTCAAGATGGACACTTGTCTGATCTTAGAACAAAGGGATTAAGAAGAAACCTCAAATTCCCTCCACCAATACATTGATCAGCCAGTAGTTTTTCTACAACTCAATTTAACTGGAATGGGACATCTTCTTCCTTGGCGGGAGCTACATGCAACGAAGTTGATTCACTACATACACCTCAAATTCCCTCCACCAATACATTGACCAGCCAGTAGTCTTTCTATAACTCAACTTAACTGGAATGGGACATCCTCTTCCTTGGCGGGAGCTACATGCAACAAAGTTGATTCACTACATGCTAACAATTAGCATATATAAACAAACTGTTAACTCTTTCATGGCATCAGAGAGAGAACTTGTATATACTGCAACACTGAGTAAACAACTGACTTACAATAGCAATGTTGAAAATAGCCTGGAAGACTAACAGATTTACACCCTTCTAAACTCATTGACTTTAATGGATTTAGAAAGGTGTAACTGCTTAGAACTGTACTGTTAGACTACATTTAGATGTCGAACTACCCCACTGTTTATAAGTTGCAATTTGCTTAAACTTCAGTTCAGTGTGATGTCTGAATGCTGGTCACACCACTAACTCTGGTTAGTAAAATGGCCACAAACCAGGATTCTTAACCAGAGTTACATCCTGGCTTGTGAACCTGGATTTATGGTAGTGCTGGTTACCAGATGTCTGAATGCAGAAATCCTGGATTAATCTCAGCTCTTTCAGTAGCGCTTCCCCTCTGGCATGGAGTCTCATCTGCAGAGTGTAAAACCTTTGCTGTCCTGCTATAGTCATCTCTGCTTGGCAGAAGATGAGCCTGGATTTCCCAGGACACTCTGGTTAGTTTTGATCATCTGCTGTACTAATGGTGATTAGCTCATCCAGCCACTTCTTAAACTAACCATGCCTAATACTGATGTCTGAGCACCACTACCTGCCACTTCTTAAACTAACCATGCCTAATATTGATGTCTGAGCGCTACTTCCTTGGCATACATTTTTGAGGACTTGACACTGTTTATTCAGATTATGAAGTATTATTCTGCGTGCCTGGGTGTATGAAGACCATGGAGCACAAGGGGATTGCAAAAAATCTGTGACATTCCAGCAGTATGATTTTGTCGCATATAAAATTTAACATGTAAACCTCATTTAATTTCCCAGCCAGAACTCTGAGGTAAAACACTTCACAACGGATTACCTGAATCATATGGATGAAGCTCCACATCTTCATATTGCCACTCGCCTTCATTCGACTTTCGTATTCCAGTGATGTCTCCTTGTGCCAAGTAAACTTTATGTTCTCAAGGTTTGATGTCTTTGCTACACGTTCTGAAATACGAGGAGAGCTGCACAGTTTATCTCAATTGCAAATACAGAATACATTTCTATTTCACATTTTAAGGCAACTAAAAGTTATATATTTAAAAAACAAACAACACGTTTGTGTTATTGGTGGGAGACATGTGACAGTTTTGGAATCTGTTTCCAGTCCTGGCTTGACAGTTTCATACCCAGTTTTGCTTCTGTCCATGTTTTACTTCTAACCCTAACATGCCTCACAGGGTTATTGCAAGGCTCAAATGCAAGAAGAGAGAACCATGTATACCATTCTGAGGTCCTTGGAGGAAGGATAAGGTAAAATGCACCAAATAAATGAGGGAATAAAATAATATTCAGAAAAAAGTCCTATGTTTATGGTGACGGCTTAGACTTTTGAGGGAGGATTCTTTGAATTTAAAATGATTAGAGAGAGGGAAGGCTTACAACAAAGTGATAGGGGAAAAAATGTCTTAAAACTTTTGTAAAATGTGTCGTGTTGGTCTGAAGCAGCAGAAAAAAGACACCCTGTGAGGTAGGTGGGGCTGAGAGAACTCTTGACAGAAAGTGCTCTTTTTCAAGAACAGCTGTGCCAGAGTTATGGCTTGCCCAAGGTCATCCAGCCAGGTGCAAGTGGAGGAGTGGGGAATCAAACCCGGTTCTCCCAGATTAGAGACCACACACTTAACCACTACACCAAACTGGTGTGTAGAGGTGATTTGTCATTGCCTGCCTCTGCATAGCAACCCTGGTCTTCCTTGGTGATCCGCCATCCAAAACCTAACCAGGGCTGACTCTGTTTAGCTTCCAAACATTGACAAGCAACAGGCTAGTCTGGACTATAACATATCCTGCCTGTTCTTCTTACCAAACTCATGGTGGTATCTGGTTCCTGTATGCTGGTCTGCCATCTAAACACTGACCAGCCCCAGAACTGCTTAGCTTGAACAAGATTCCCATAGCACATGCCCTCTAGCAAACCCTGGGACTGTGAAGAACTTGAGGCACTACCTATAGTTTGAGGATTGTGCCCCATTTTATTGCTACACCTCTTCATTTAAAAGGCTTTGATTTCAGTGTGCCTTTGAGGTGTAGCAATGGGACAGAAAGGTGTAGCATCCCTATGCAAGCCTTTCCTCATTTCCAGGTGCAAGACAGGACTTGAAGCTTTGAGCTGAAAGCTGACATAAGGGAGACTGTAGCTGTCTTTTGCTCAGGAAGTCCTTGAGAAGTTGGCACTGGAGCGAAATAAAGAGCTGGAGGCCTGACGCACTGCTACTGTAATCCTATTTTCAGCAATGACTCCACAGTCTGGAGCGTAATTGCATCAGCCGCACGAAGGCTCCGCGTGCACAGAGCATGCAGAACGCCGTGCTTTGTTAAAGCCTCAGACTTACCCAGCAAACCAAAGTGTTACTTTTTTCAACTCTCTGATTATGATGCATCTCTACAGAGCAAAAAAGAAATGTTCCGCCCGTGCTTATCTTCCTTCCTTTGCATTCCCCTATCGGACACAGGCTACCACTCCTGAATGCTGCAGCTGTTCCTCGGCTCCCTTCCATTTATCAGTCTGTAGCCTCTATGGCCACAGTTCAAATCTAATTTTCCCCTTCCCCTTCCGTCTCCTTACCCTTGTATATTTTAAAAACTTAATAAAAATCTATTTTAAAAAATTGTTTTACAGATCCAAGGACCAAACTGGAATAGCAAGCTTATGGTTACCATTTGTTTGGGTTTAAATCGGGGGGGACATAGTGAAGGAAATAAATATATCTGGGATTTCATACTCAGATCGACTCTGTAATTGAGGCAGCAGTAAAATTGACTCTGTGGATCATATTTTGTTTGATTGTCCCAAATTTTCAGCTCTGAGAGATGAACTGGTCTCCCCTTTATTTAATCAGGACTTCCTTTCTCCAGAAGCAAAATCATCCTGGTTACTTAGAGAAGAAGACAAACAGAGTACTCTGCGTGTGGCAAAATCTCTAGCAGCTGTTGTCAAATCGCATGACACCTTTTGCAGTAGCAACCTTTACGTTCTTCCATGTTTTCCTGTGGAACTAAGTTTATTGTGGTATAAGTCTTTGCTGTTTATGACTCCAGTTGCAAAAACAGTCAAGACAATAGAATAAATATATCAGAGTTGGAGATTGATGGGCAGATGTACCCTTCTTATTGTGGAATGCTGAGAGTAATGTAATGAATAGTAGAATGCCATGTAATTTCGAATGGTAAATTGGAATGTATTTCTCTGGTCGTGGGACGGAGGAGATACACTGCACAGCCAATCCCCCCACTTCAAAGAGGATGCTGTAAGCTTGCCTCCATGCTTGAGAGGTTCCCCTCAGGGCCCAGCTGCACCGTGGAGTCCAGTATTTGTTCCAGCTCTCAAATGGGGGGGGCGACTTGCCCCAGGCTGGTAGTGTGGGTGCAGAGCACATTGGTGGTGTCCTGGAATGGCTTTAGGACACACACCATTTGGGAAAAGGACAGACAATTGTTGGAGCTGATGCTGAGCTCCTCTTCCCCATGAAGGATGGTCATGGAAGGGATGACATCCTGCACCATGCTCCTCTGCTCAATCAAATGAGCAGTCATGGCATACGTGGAGTTCCAGTGGGTGGACACATCCTGGATGGACCAGTATTCAAGTTCCTCCCTTTCCTCCTGCCTCTCTCACAGCAGATGCACAGCCTTGATATTGCGGGAGAAATGGCTGGCCGGGCACCGGCAGGTCTCCAGCAGAGCCCTCATCTCAAGGGTGATGGCATCCCTTTGCAGTGCTCCTGAGCCCCAGGGAATTCCTCACCACCAGGTTCAGTGTGTACACCAGACAGATGATATTCTTCAGGTGCAGAGCCAGTTTGGTGTAGTGGTTAAGTGCGCGGACTCTAATCTGGGAGAACCGGGTTTGATTCCCCACTCCTCCACTTGCACCTGCTGATGTGACCTTGGGTCAGTCACAAGCTCTGGCACAGCTGTCCTTGAAAAAGAGCAGTTTGTGTCAGAGTGCACTCAGCCCCACCCACCTCACAGGGTGTCTGTTGTGGGGAGGGGAAGGGAAAGGAGTTTGTAAGCCGCTCTGAGACACCTTTGGGTAGTGAAGGGCGGGGTATAAATCCAATCTCTTCTTCTTCTTCTTCTCTTGCCAATGCCTGCATGTTGGCCCCGGCATCCGTGACCATGTAGCCATGGGTAATGTTTCTGCTGCCGAACCACTCTCTCAGGCTACTCTGTATTGTTGCAGTGATGTTTACCACCATGTGGTCTTCATCCATCCCCTGTGCATGGAGAACCATCTTGTAGCCAGGTGGCAGGGCTGCCCCATCCTGGTGCATGTCCATGGCTCCCACTCCAGAGCTCCTCCGGTCACCACCAATGGTGCTGCTGGCTGCTCCAAAGATCTGCTGTCAGGTGGATGGTTTGGCCTCACGCTTTGGAAAGCTCGACCTTGACCAGCTCCACCGCAGACTGGTGCATGAAGGGCAACACTCACCATCTCATGGTCCACAAAGAGGGGATGGTGTACCAGGGAGCCAGGTGGCACAGCAGCCAGAGAAAGGCCACATCCTCCATAAGGGAGAATGATTGGCCATCCATGGCAATCGTATCACCGACAAGGCTGGCTTCCTGAGCCCTTCCCCTTCTCCTTTTTCCTGGCACTGGCAGTGTCTCCATTACCTTTTGGAGGGTGACTTGCTTGCCTTGTAGTCCCAACCACAGTACCTGGAGCCTTTCTTTGAGGGGGTCTCCTGTTCCCCCCTGCTTCTCCCTGCTGAATGGGAGTGGGCCTCTTCCACCTCCTACTAGTGGCCAACACTTTTTCCTCCAGCAGAGACAAACTAGGGTGCGCCCTTTGGAGGTGCCTCCAGAGAATGGTGGTGGACAGGTGTTGTATGTCCCTGCTCCTCCAGACATGGGCACAGCACATCCAGCACTGCAGCATACAGGGATCACTTCCCACAGTGTGGGTACATTTCCATGCAGTAGAGTGGAACTGCATTCCCACGGCCATGGTTGGAGCAGGTGGGACACACAGCTGCTTTCTGGCACTGGGCCAGGGAGTGCCAGAGGGAAGCATACTGGTGGCAGCAGGAGCAGTAGGCTGCTGGGATGTGGAACGGAAGGTTGCACATCACCACCACCCTTTAAGTCATTGCTGTCACTGTTCTCCCTTCCAAACAGTGTTTCGTACTGCTGCTTAGGCAGCATTGCCAGAAACACTTGAGCAACAGTTGAAAGCCTCGTGGACATGGATGAAGCAGGAAAAGTGGTCACTAATGTGGTCCAGAGACACTGCCTTACTCTAGGGTAGCCCCAACAGCAGGGACACACCACTTTCTACCCTAACCAGAGACCCACAAATTCAGGCCAAGGAGGGCACTCCTGGTTCTGAAACACAGAGCAGGCCAGAGCTCTGGGGAAAAGGCTCTCTGTTTTCAGGTGGCATAAGGCACTCCTCAGAGCAAACCTCCAGTCTTCTCCCCCACCCAGCAAAGGTAGGCATATGAAACAATGGCAGTTCCACCAGGTAAAGTATCTACATTTTTAAAGGCTATTCAAAGACCACCTGGCAAATACCCCTTCTGTCTCCAGAACTTCACCCAGACCATTTGTGTGTATCTATGTCTATGTGGAAATCCTTTGTCTCCCCAACTGTCCTTCCTACGTCTTCCCTCAGGATACTGAGATAAATCAATCATACATTCAAATGTTTAGTGATCCTTCCTGATGCTAAGCAGGGACCTATCTCCCACCTTTTGTGTAACCCTGGGAACCTTTTCAAAGTACCTTGACTGGGCCATTAGTGGTCCGAAAAGCCCATTCAACTAGCCACCCAGCACCTGGCTAAACCCATCAATGCTATTGTTATTCCAGACTCTTCCCCTCTGGAACCTCATTGGTCACACCTCGGTCTTGCTCCTCTTGATGCTGCACCCCCGGGACCCATGATTGGCCTAGGTAATCTTTTTCTTCACCTGAAACAAGACCCTCAAGACCTCCTATTGGTC